ATTTGCTGCTTAGTTTAGAGACCGTGTAGGTTGTACGCTGCGTGAAGACGAGGAATTGCCCGTTTCAACTTACGCAGACTGTCTACGTGTTGATAGCATACTTTATGGTTTGAGGCCATAAGCGTTGATGACTTCTGCTTGCATAATATTCTATTCTCGCAAGTAATCTGAGCACAATGCTTAAATAGAGTTGCATAGGCCATCCAGGTCTCAGAGCTTGGAGAGTGTTTATAGATATGCGAGGTTGAGTGTCGCAACACTGTGCAATTGCTTACACTGCTTTACAGAAACGAGACCACGTTTCTCGGGTGGTCGGTCTTAGTCGCTGATGCTTTTGTTACCAGCGTGTTAGACTGGCTGACGAAATATTCCCATGGGCTAGCCGATGATGCGCCTGCTAGAAACGTCCTATTGGTTGTCTCACCCAGTCGGGCTACTATGTCGCAGGGTATAAGCTTCCTCGTTAAGTCGAAAATTTCTAGGGGATATCCATAATAACAGATTTATTCGAAGAGTAGGACTACACGATCGCTGCGGTAAAAGAAGACATCGAGGACTACCATCTTGACAATCAGCTCTTCTTTAGTGAATAGCGGATACAGTATTGATTGCTTATCTGTTTTACCATCATGTCAAGGAGTGTTGATGCGGCAATACAGCGAGAAAACTGAGACAATCTCTTGCAGATCCGCCTTAAGCTAACCTCCAGGAGCAGCTGCGGATTCCAGAGCGTGGGTGCTGAAATCGGGAATAATAAGAACGTCACTATACTTCTCCTTCATCATCCGCCTTAGCGCCGTTGCCAGATAGAATTCTATCTGCATCGGCAGTGCCGAACAACGGACATGCCAGGCATAGCGATTTCAACGTCATTTGTCTCGGATCGCAAGCCGAAATGCATAGGTGATATTTACGCGAAACGAGTGGAGCATACAGGTCGCCCTGAGCTAGCCAGATAGGAGAAACTCTTACAACATGCGCGTCTCACTCATATGCACTGGTTACTGACTATTGTGAACTGTCTCCCATTTAACTAGGTTTCACTGAAGCTACGCACTCCCTGGCCCAAGTTAAGTGTTGCAAAGTTGCTGTTGGAATCGGCTATGAACTACTTGCCCGTAGTCCGAGTTCCGCATCAGTGCTCTGTAAGAAATCCAGAACGATAGCGCCTGCATCCCTGTTTTTCAGGACTTAGGCATAAGAGTAATCTTAGTACAACACCTCGGAATAAGTGCGTTTGGATCGAAATGGATGGGAAAATGTCTGCAAAGTCCCACTTACAGCTCTTGATGGGATGGAAGGCTTGCTTTTACGCGTTTCGTCCTTAGTTGAGCCATAAAAGTAGGATTCAATTTGTTTGCGTAATGTGAAGATTTAATTAATGCCAGAAGGGTGAAGCGGACTTCATCAGCTCAATCAACCATCTCGATGTAGTTGCCCTGCACAATTAATAGTTTGGCGCTTCATGATCGGTTTAGCTGGACCAGCGCTGCATCTGCATTATGATGCAAAAGGTACACCAGAGCTTAACTCACCTTGACGAACACCGGTATAAAACGCAGTTATCCAGAAGTTTTAGGATCCCGATGCATGGTTACTGCCATTAAAAATGGTTACGTAGTCTATTATTTTGCTTTTTGTCCACCAACTCAGCTCTAAGTCAGTTAGATTTCGGTGGAATATTGGACGTTCGATTACATTCTCAATGCGACTAATGTATAATGAACCTGCTTTTTGGTCTCGGGAATATAAATGCGGAGTTATGGCAAAAATGTCCCAATACATTGGAACATTAAGATGTAATTCCGATACTTTATTATGCTCACTCTCCTTCAGCAGGCTTAGACTAGTCCGGAAAACACCAATAACTGGTGTTTTGACATTCTGTATCTCGTCAATGGTGCGACTTCCAGCTGACCCCTGCCTGGTTCCACCCCTATGAATTCCGGACGCCAGCCGCTAGTGCCACTTCGCCATGGGTGACATCCGCGGACCTGCATGCTTGACAGTTGTATATGATATAGCCTGGCTAAGCTTCTACTGCCTTGCCAATTACGAACTGTGCAGTGGGCAGCAGCTAGCCCCACGTGTTAGCAATTTCCGCAAATCGCCTAGTCACGGCACAAGGCCTCAAGCGTTAAACGGAATCTAGGCTTCACCTATGAGCACGAAAATGGAAACCGTCTGCCTTTCTTGGATGTAGAGGTCATCCGCAACCCGGATGGCTCATGTAGCAGAAAGGTACACAGAAAGCATACGTTGATGAGACAGTACACCAACTTTCACAGCGCAGTGCCTTTACAGCACAAGAGGAGTTTGATCCGATCTCTTGCCTTTATGGCGCACAGTATTTGCACTCCGGATACCGTTAACGAAGTGCGACAGAGAATCAGCGACACCCTTCGTGAAATGCTTACCCAGTTAAGTTAATCATGAAGCATCTAAAAGTAAGAAAGCGAAAGCCACCTAGGAGCATTGCTCCCAAGAAAGAGCTGTTCATACATTTGCCATTTAAGGGCGATACTGCAGCTGATATCTTATATCGACGTCTAAAAGATGCTGTCGAGAAAACTTATTTCGCAGCCCACTTGAGAATTGTTTATTACAACAATCCATTGCTTGCAAAACCCTTGAAAGATAGTCTGCCATCGTTGACCCGTTCAATGCTTGTTTATCAGTACTCGTGCTCCTGTGGTGCACGATACGTGGGTCGTACAACGAGACGTCTATCATAGAGGATTCGCGAACACATCCTGGCGGGGTTTTACAAAGGCGGAATGAGATCCTCAGACAGCTCAGTCATGTCGCACCTCCCCGAAAGTGGCCATACTGGATCTGAGGATGACTTCAAAGTCATCTACTCACTACCTGAATGCTTCTCGCAAGGCTTCCGAAAGCAAATCTTGTCTATTGCCAAGGCTATTTACATCCACCATCTGAAGCCGGAATTATGTGTACCTAAACGATTCATACGGCCGATACTACTATCGTGGCCGACTGACATGGTCACTTAATTCCCTTCGTGACCTTACCTATTTACTTCAGGCTGCTGAAGCTTGTATTCAGTTTCCTTTGGTGCACTTTCCCAACCATCTGTAGCCGCATTTTAGTCATCGATCTTGATCGTTCAAACACCTTAAAAATTAATCCCAGCCCGATTTGACGCTTACCCCACACAATCAGTGTTATGTAAACGTTTGGGTCTGAAGAGAGTTTACTGAAAACCATTCTTAACCCTGAACTGATTTCTGGTCTTGATTCATCTGAATGCAATGGGAATATTTGTTTTGCTGAAAATATGCATTGCCCGTGATTTGTTGAAGAGTTCATCATTTGTAAATGCGTGACATAACAGAGCTGAGGACCTAACTTCAGCCAATGAGGCTTCATGGATGGACAGGAACAACTGAGGATTTGTCTGTAATGGATATGCAGTGGAACGTTTTCACTGATTCCAAGTAGGTTGGAATTAAATATAGCACGCGGATGGGGACGCCGATGTTTCAATTCAAGAAAAGTCTCACCTATCCGGATGGGGGCATTTCTCTCATTTTATATTATTAACTGCAGATTAACTAAAATGTCATCATAAAGACGAAATATTTTACAGATGAATAAACATAAAAGAAAAAGGGACACGGTCATCACTTCGAATTACTTTCCGTAGCAACAATATCACATTGCGGAGAAAGATCCTTATGATTTGTATCCGGTTTTACCAAATTAATTATTCATAGGTGTTTGAGTTGGTCATGTGTTGTATGTTAAACATTGTACCCAAACTTTGGACAGAGTAGGACAGTCACAGTAACCATGAAAGTACTTTTACCAAAGAAGACCGCCAAAAGATTCTTGAAATAATCAGGTGTAGAGAGCAGATAGCACATGTTAGGTGAAAAAGTCCGAAGCTGATTCAAATGCACTATTTGGAATGCCTTTAAATCGCTAGAGCCCGGAATATGGCTGACAAAGAAAAGTAAGATGGCTGCTAGGAAGACGACATGATTTACGTAGACACTGAAGAGCTCTCTGCGAGAGTGAATTGCCATGAGACGTCTTTTATTGTGTTTCTACATGAGTAGTACCCGTGTTTCTAAGTCGCCTAGCACCACGCAATGAAGATCCATAAAATAATGCAGATTTATTTTCACTCCATTTCTGTAACGGTCAATCGGAATTAGGAAGTACTTGGCATATGACCAGCTGTTCCAACGAATAGCAGGTTTAACCTTGCAACCCTAAACGTTTGACGAAGTTCACATTTCATAAGTTTGCTAAGGAGGCATGGAGTGATGAAGCACATAAAGGAAGTTCTGTCCATTTTAGTTAGTGAGGCACGGAGATGGTTTCACACGTGACGTCGATTACGAAACGATTGCCACGGCGATTACTTTAACCTGAAGCGTGAATGCGCCAGGATCAGTGACTATCCTTTAGTAAACATCATTATTTTGCCGGACTGCTCAACAATACGCGATGGCGAATCAATCTTAAATTTGATCCATAGATTTCTACATCCCAGTCGCCCGAACATGTTCATCCGATGAGCTGTTAACTATGTCTTCTTTAAAACAGTTAGTTATCCTCAGTAATTTGAAAAGTACAATGAGAAGACGAAGTTCGGCAGATGCACGCGTTTTGTATCGCGTCCTCAGTGCTGTTTACGATAACCGGTAATTTAAGACAACAGTTTGTTGGTGAAGATATAAATACATACAAACGAGAGGAAAAGCTGGTGTCTTGCTCCTACTGTTTATTTTTAAATTTATGCTGTAGGTTTTATCAGTAACATTAATGATGGCTTCGAACTAAATACCAGTGTCGTAGGTTTCAGTTCCTAATAGCGATGGTACACTGTTGGTTTGAAAATTCGATTTTAGGAGGTGAGTGTAGATCCTCAATCATAGTACAGCTTAGCGTTAAATCAAGCATACCGTTGTTCAATCCACTCATTCTTTTTGCATGCTTACCAATATTCCTTTCTCACCCATTAATTACAGGCAGTAGTCGAGAATGTTGCGGCGCTCGATGATGTCCCAGGTGACCTATGTTGGAATGAATTGAAGCGGATACTGCATTGCCATTCCGCCCCACTGCTGTTTCTTCGGATGTCACACCTAGGCATTTTACCGTACCTCGGTTTTCAATGGGTTCCCGATTTCCCCCAAATGGACTCCGCATGGGCGCGGGGAATCCTGCGCCCTGCTCCTGACCCCGCTACCTGCTTGGCCACGCTTGTTTCCAATCTCGAGCAGGTAGGTTCTATGTTCCGCCATCGAAGTGTTCCTCCACTTGTTCCTTCTGCACCTTATTGTAACGTGACTGTTGGTAGGGAATACTGAATACTGAATACGAAGAACAGAGAGCAAGAAGATAAAAATCTATGTCGCTCCATCTTAGTTGAATCGGGCACCTGCATGGAATCACGTCGCTGGTTCCTGCGCGGTGTCAGAATGTTTCAGCAGCAGTACATCTAATCCGGGTGCGAAACCCTCCTTATTCCTGTATCTTGTAATGTGCGCGCCAAGCGTCGAGCGTCTCTGGCAATCGGTTTCAAGATATCACCGCTCGACGCTTGAAGCAAAACAGATGTGCCTTAAATCCCGTACAACTATTTTGTACCGTGGTGCGCGTGTGCTGCTCGGTACACAAAATATTAGCACGGGCTTCAACATAAGGAAGTGCTCCAAGTGCAATATACGGTGGGTCATAATGAGACCAACTGGAAGCCGATGATACGACAGGATGTAAAGTCATAGTATCCTACATCGGTCCTCGTACGACATAACCCGTAATAGGAGGATGTGTCGAGTGACTAATTGCTTGAGTAGTTCCAGTCATTGCAGCTCACCTATTGTGATCGGACAACAGATGGGTAATCCGTACTCAAGCACCGGCCTTCTCATGGGGGAGGATAGACGGGTGGCAATCTCTTCAAGCCGAGTGCAAACCTGCATCTAAGTGTTCAAACAGGCGTAGTCAGTTTGTGTACACTCTGTTCGTGTTGTTGACAGACTTCAGATCACAGCTTGAGAGTACGCCTAGATCCTTTACGGTACTGGTGGGATGCAGCGGCTGATCGGCCAGGGTGCACGCGCATCCATTACTACCCCTCCCCAGTCTCATTAATGGGCACTTGGCAGTATTGACTGGTAGGTCAACTTATGCAGACCACCGGGATAAGCGGTTGTGGTCCAGTTGCGAATAGAAAAACAGGTTAGCTAAAAGTAATACATGTAACAGTCGTTTGATCATAAGCGTGTATCAGAAGAAGTATTTGCTTTCACTTGCACTTATTGTACCCACGAAGTCAACACTCGACAAAGGCATCATGTCATGATCCCATTTATGTGGCGTCAGTCGGCTAACCATAGTCCTCCGCCTGCTGCTATTTGAATGCATCCGATATTGTGCTTTGCGAATTGAAAAATCAAACATTTGTTACAGGATTTATTTGCAACTGAACCGATAGATTACAAGTCAACAGTAATTGTGATTATTCGTTCGGTGGTGAGATTAGGTTGAAAGGCGTTTGGTGAGCCGCCGTGTATGCAATAAGTACAGATCAAAACTATACGAAATTTTGAATTTAGTCGCCCTAGGCAAACATACTGGCTCGCCGTCAAAATGAACCTGAGGGTGTGCCGCTCTGGCCTATTGGATTGATACACAAATATAAGGCTCGTGCATTGACCTTATAAAAGGATTGCTTTGATGATTAAAACCGACTCCTCGGTACCCGCATTATGATACCACAGTTTCTCATTTGTTAAAGCTTGGTAGAGATTACATTAAGCCAGGGACATCCAAAGTCCGGCCAGCGCGCCAAATGCGGTCCTCGTTAATATTTATACGGGATCACAGCCTTATCATGAAGTACTAAATTCTAGTCTGGTTTTTTTCGTACAGACGACATTATTTAGATTACAAAATGTATGGAGGTTATGAGTACAAAAGATAATGGCGCCAGGTTTTGGCAAATTTAACTGATGCACCATTTGTTTGTAATGAACAAAAGAGAAGTCCCTCTAGTGTCTCTACTGAAAAGACCTTAAATTGCTCAAAAAGTAGATCTCAGGTTCCCAGTTTCACTCTTCACATTACAAATTTACAACAAAAATTTATGACGTGAAATTTTGATATTAATTTGATGGCAGACTGAATATGGCCCGACATAAGTTTACCTCACAACATGTGGCCCGGGTTGTGAAAGGTTTGAAGACACCTGGGTTCGGGCGAATGCTGTTGTGAATTCAATTCGCCGTTGTCCCACACTCACTGAGTGTCCACGGCGTTGCGGCTCATGTATATTGCTCCCTCTCAAGTGCCATTTGCCGATTTAGTTCAATCTCACCTCGTATAGGCTTTCGGTGCGTGCTCCCGCGACAACTGAAGTATTCTGCTATATATTCATTCCATCTGCTCGCAGAGTACTCTCCGTGCTTTCCTTCGAACCGGATTTACCAGCTCTACATGTTGGTCCATCACACTTGGAAGTAACAATTAGTAATAAAGTCCTCACAAAGCCAAGTATTGTAGCTGTCAGCAGTGCATAAGCGCAAGCGGAAAAATCATTCAATTTAAGTCGGTTGCCTTTCTGTATGGCACCAATCGATACAGAATCCTCGGGTCAGACCGTAAAGTCTAGACTTATTCCAATCTTGTGGATTGTATTGTAGCTGTGGAGGAATTTGTGACCTCTGATTCTGTGTCCAATGTGCTGTTCAGATTCGCTTTCAGGTTTCATTTACACCACTCTTCGTGACCTTGCAAGTCAGAGCACCTGCAATACACATCCCATGAATCACGCGTCCGCGCAAACTGTTCATTTGATCCTTGGAACCGAAGCGTTCGCCTGACCGATATACGCAGCTATAAAAGCGGGAAAAAATGACAGAACATCAACCAACTCACTGGGTCAAGTAATGACACCAGGTTGGATAGTAGAAATCAGGCAAACGCTCCTTCAGAAGGCCTTCAGCCAAAAGCTATCTACTTGTTGGGTGAATGCCAGCAATTAGCTCAAGTAGGTTTAGCTTGCTGGCATTGTTTCCAAGGATATCATCCGAAGTGTGCAACTTCGTCCCGATAAACCGTTGCGCGAGCGAAAGCGTCCCCAAGCTTTTATTTGGGTTTGTACTGCGTGCTGGATCATCCCATGCGTTAAGCTCACTTGCATCTTAGTTCAGAAGCGCAACCGGTTAATGGCAAAAACTGATCATAGAATGAAGCTTAAGGTTACTTCTTTGGAAGCCCTCTTGCACCAGAGGGACGTAGTGGCTACGAAGCAACGGAAGGTTGCACGTGTTGCTTCTCACAAGCCACAAACACGCAAGTCCTCAGCACAGTTTTCCTCTCCAACCGACAGAACGCTGGCAGAAAACCGATTGTGTCTACGAGAGTCAAGCAGTACTTATGGGAACGAAAATCAGGCACCACCCGCAACGTCTGTTTATGCTAGATTTCTTAAAGCAGACAGCAGCCTTTAACATAAACGAAGCAGCCGAATACCAACTCACTGCACATGCAGCTCAAAGGCCTATTTTCGAGCCAGTGTTCACTGGGATATCAGTGCATATCCAGTGATGGTTGCAAAGGTTTGCCGGAGGGCCGCCGAAGCGGTTTCTTCTATTGTAAACACAGTCAGCGCATATAGACAGAAAACAGTAATCAAGAACCACCTGTAAGTAGGTCAATACAAATGATTAGCATACCTATTAGTTCAGTAAACAAGGGGCTAACAATAGTCTGGAGAAGGTTTTGTACTACAATGTCCCCGGATATACTCCCAAGACATTACGTGGTAACTTTTCGGACGACCAAGACCAATGGAGCTCCTTGTGCGTGCTGATAAGCGTCAAACCCAAACCCATACACATATTATGGAACACTCCTCACCGGAACTCTGCACACTATGGAGAACCCAGACTTTTTCGGGTAACACTGGAATCCTCCACTGAAGTAGAAAACATTTTATTCTCTGTAAGTGCACTGCGACACGGATCCCATGGGATACACATTTATCCCAATGCCATCTAGAGCGTGCGACAAGCCAAAAGAAATAACCAAGAAGGACAATGGAAGTTAGATCACCTAAACATATGGCGTGTCAGTGCTTTCTTCTAACGATGTACAAGAGGCCAGAAATCAACAATTAGAACAGTGGCAGTGTATCAGCGAGATGCTTTCCTTGGACAATATTGTGGCGTTATCGCCCAGCAGGCTACCCTATCACCAACGTACAGAGAAAGTGGGCCAAAAATCATAAAACCAGTTGTTCAGTCAGAGCAAAGAACAAGAAATGTGTTGGATCGATGGTGAAACAGTCGGCAATGCTTTTCTTTTGAACTTCGGTTAAAGGCTGCAGAACCTTTGCAAACTTCAGATACCAAAGTACCTGAAGAAGTTTACTTGTTTGCGCCTTAACTCGACACTGACGCAGTTGTAAAGGAGGACTGGGAGGCGCCTTGGCTGAGTTAATTTATAGATAATATCTTCGTATCCTACAAAAAGCGAGTAATGGCCGGCCTGCTATCGGCCGGAATTCTCCCACACACGACCCTTTACCTCTCTATTTGCTCCTAGAGACAGAGAAACTATTCTGCTTATATATGCATGCCCAAAGCCCAGTCGGAAAATTTGCCAAACTGAAAGATTACTAAGTTTTCGGGTCCTATGATGGCATCGGGAGCAAAAAGACATGGTTGTACAGTGGAACGACGGACGCTGGAGTTTTCTTACCGGGCATTCTCTCACCCGGAACGATAGACTCAGAATCGGAGGACAGGTGATTATGAATTACCCAAGCGCCTTGCATTGCGAAATTGTGAAGGAATCAGACTCACAGTTCTCCCGATATCTTTGGTGCCGCATGGAATTAACAGACAGAGGCACTTACCCTATTGCCTCGGTGTACCGCCCGCTAAGTTTTCACCTGAAACTGATTGCAACCATGTTGTTGCTTTAAGACGCACTCCGAAGTGCAGATGTGCTCACATGTCTAATCTGCATTAGACCGTAACCACTGTTCCGCTCTGTAATCACCTCACGTTACCCATTCGGTTCAGAACTGGTAACAGGCCATCTGTGCTGCATCTTGTGCTTACCATCGGAGAGCATATGATTGATGAGTTGGCTGTAAACTGCCTGTTGGGTCATGGTGAACATACAGTTATTAGTTTCAGATTTGTCTGTTACGCAAAATAGCGAAATGCAAAGTGTAATAGAGTGCGAATCATCGCAAGCTACGTTCGATTACCCGGCTCGTCAGCACCACAACCATGTCCACCTTAGCAAAGAAACCCCTGAAGTAGTCTGGCTCGATTTCGTCAACAAATTCAGT